GGGGAGGATTCTTCCTCTGAAGATCTCCCTCTGTCCGCTCGCCCCACGAGTTTTCTCCCACATCATAGAGTGAAGATAACTAACATCAACAGAAGTGAACCAAACACAGTAATCTTAACCAAACTAATCAGTAGAAAGTTAAGTAACGATGTCTGGAGGAACGCAAACATAACTAAAACAGTTAAAGGATTAGTAAACAAAAATTGAAATACAAAACTGATCAGAGCTTATAGAAGGTAAACGGAACTAAATTGGACTGAGTAACCTAAAGATAAACTATACAAATGAAACTGGAAGAAAAAAGGAACATATACAATAACTATGCTAAGGTAAACTAGATGACACGGTTGGAAATCAAAACATGCGCGATGCAAAAATTAACAAAGTCGCCTCCATCTGAACTGGTTATATTTTCCCCTAACCCACTAGGATCCAACTCAGTACAGGTTAAACTCAACCCCCGGGGCAGTGCCACTGACTGTAGTGTCTTTAGGCCATTCCCAAAGGGGGGACATTTCTCGTTCAATCATAGTAGAATTTTAAATAGGCTGATTCGTCATGTCACGCTCATAACTGTACCTGATCTACAACAGGGAACTGCTGCTTTTTCTTTCCTAATCCTTACTGTTGTCATTTTCCTCTACTTCTTTTGTATGTTTGTCACTCTCTTGTGAACTGTTATTTCCGGGGTGCCTTGATAGTCGAAGCAGACTTCGTGCTGTTGAAGCTAGAGAGGTGAGCAGAGTAAATCTGATTCCCTGTAAAGACTTCTCTGTTGACACCCACCCCTTGGCGCTCATAATATGACCTTATGCAGTTGCCAGCGCCGTAAAACACTCTACAAAAACTAAAAACAGGTTTACTCTGTCCACTAAAATCGTCTGTTCCTAGTCTGCGTCTGTTGTCTAATGTCGTACCAGAAATATTTTTTACTACTCGATTTCTAAAGGTTTCTGCCTGTCCCAAATACCTAATGCTATTTGGGGCATCGTGATGAAATCAGGTGCTCGTCAAAACAATGAAATCGTACAAACCGACACTTATTTTCTACCCGGTGGACCATTTTTATTGAGTTGACTGATTAATTTCTGCTTTGTTTTGACTTAACACATTGTCGAGAACGAGGAAGAAGAAGAAGACTTAACACTTTTCTGTGTGTCTTTTACTAAAACCCCCCCCCCCCCAAAACGGTGATCAAAGATGCTTTAAAAAATGTAAATTTGCAGTTTTCAATGACTCTCAGGCTTTGGAATTCACCAAACTTTGGCTGCCATTATTTCACTAATTTTACTTCTGGCACTAGGCAACCTTCATCTTCTTCAATCGCAAATATCTCGACTTCTATCCATTTAAGATAAATTGGCATTTTTGTGACTTAAAGCAAGACAAATGAGCAAGCTTTAAGATGACCCCAATAAATCGTTTTGCCCAAAAATTGACGAGCGCCAGAGTCCACCGCGTCGTGACACATAATATCACCTACGACATATTGTTGACCCTTGAGTCCGATCAGGGTTGACTGCTTTAGTTGTTGTTGTTGTTGTTGTTGTTGTTGTTGTTGTTGTTGTTGTTGTTGTTGCTGTTTTTGACCTCTGACCTTGTCCTTCTGGTAAAGTAAAGTTGTTCCCGCATCCAATCCGGACATTGGGGATTGCCTTGTTAGTGAGACAACTTCCTGGGCCTTCGGTATATTGTGGTAGGGTGGCCAGTTCCTTTCCACGCCGCCTTTACTTTCCCAACTCGAAGTCAGGTACCCATTACTGCTGGGTGGGCAGGAGGGGTCGAAAAATATCCGTGTCCGAACCGACCCTCGGCGAACCCGGACTTTCCGCTTCGGAGACGAGCGCACTAACCGTTCGGCCAGCGCACCGTCCTTCTGGTACTAGAGCACAATAATATTATTAAGTCATATCCTACCATTTTTCCTCCAGGTCAGATGGAGTTGAGCTCTCTGTCTCCAACGTAGCGTCACCGGAAAGTATCGATTTTAGGGGCAGTAGGAGGTTTGGTGGCAAGGACATATCGGAGCTGTCATCATCCTTTGGAAGCAGGCGTTGCTTCCAGTGGAATTGAGGAGTTGGTGGCGACTCGGTTGAAACCGCTAACATGTCCCTCACATCAAAGTGAAGCTTTTCCCAGTCATCCGAGTCCCATCCCGAGGTCCTCCCTACGAGTCCGAGAAGGGCGAGGAGAAGAACCAGCAGAGGGGACGAGACAGACGAGAGCCTCATGGTGTTTCCTTGTCTCGGGGCTAGGAGGAAAAAAATGATGATGATAACAATGCTAATAATAATAATGATAATAATAATAAAGATAATAAAAATCATCATCATCATCACCATCATCATCATCATCATCATAGTAGTAATAATAATAATAATAATAATAATAATAATAATAATAATGATGATGAGGATGATGATGATGATGATGATAGTAATAATAATAATGATAATAATAATAATAATAATAATAATAATAATGATAATAATAATGATAATGATAATAATAATGATGATGATGATGATGATGATGATGATGATGATGATGATGATGATGATGATGATGATGATGATGATGATGATGATAATAATAATAACCACACCCTAACAATATGCAACAATGCGACTTTCTTATTTCAGAAGTCTAGATGATGACTTCGTAATCACATTGTGACCGTATTGCCCTCAACAAGACCGACGTCAAAAGATGAGGTGGCTGGCAGCTGGACGACTTTCGACTTGGGAAACTAATATACTCTGTGCACACCTTTTCGACTTGAAAAAGTTATTATATTCCTCTGTGCACACCCTTTCGACTTGGGCAAGAATTATATTCTTCTGTGCACACCCTTTCGACTTAGACAAGTATTATTCTTCTGTGCACACCCTTTCGACTTGGGAAAGTAATAATATATTATTCTGTGCACACCCTTTCGACTTGGGAAAGTAATAATATATTATTCTGTGCACACCCTTTCGACTTGGGCAAGTAATGTATTCTTCTGTGCATACCCTTTCGACTTGGGCAAGTAATATATTCTTCTGTGCTTACCCTTTCGACTTGGGCAAGTAATATATTCTTCTAAGCACACCCTTTCGACTTGGGCAAGTAATATGTTATTCTGTGCACACCCTTTCGACTTGGGCAAGTAATATATTCTTCTGTGCACACCCTTTCGACTTGGGAAAGTAATAATATATTATTCTGTGCACACCCTTTCGACTTGGGAAAGTAATAATATGTTATTCTGTGCACACCGTTTCGACTTGGGCAAATAATATATTATTCCGTGCACACCCTTCCCTTCGACGTGAGCAGGTAGGGCCTACTTACATGTTGTGTTGTCTCGTTGTTCCAGGGCGATATACAGTGACTCAAAGTCCCCAGTCTCTCTTTTATACACACAGGCACAACACATGGTGAAACGATGCTAATTAGAATTAAACATTGTTTTTTCACAGAACACTCATTGATAACATTAAAATGTCTGTATTGTCTTATTTACAGCTTAGGAGAAAGTAGTTTTTCTATAATGGACGACACCTTAATCTATTAATCTAATTTCCTCAGCTCAAGATTTTATGAGCCCAATCCATAAATATTACAGAGACGTGTACGAAGAAAATAGCCTGGAACATAAAAGGTACAGGTATAATTCTTTTGTCACCCCCCCACCCTCCCCCGCCTTCCTCTCTTTCACAGCCCTCGCCTTTCTGTTGTCTCGGTCTCTCTCTCTCTCCCTCTCTCTCTCTCTATCTCTCTCTCTCTCTCTCTCTCTCTCTCTCTCTCTCTTTCTCTCTCTCTTTCTATCTATCTATCTATCTACCTATCTGTCTATCCTGAGGGTAAATATAATGTATGAATGGGAGAAAAATGTAGGCAAGAGGACATGACCACTATAATAACAAGGAGAAGAGGGAGATAGATTGGGCATGTTCTGAGAAGAGAACCAGACTCTGTTGTAAAGATTGCACTCCACTGGACACCCGAAGGACATCGCAAGAGGGTCAGACCCAAAGTGACCTGGAGACGCACAGTAGAGTCTGAAATGAAGTCCTGGAACCATTCGTGGGGTACGTTGACCAAGATAGCCCAAAACAGACAGAGCTGGAGATCCTTTGTTGCTGCCCTAAACGCCAGATGGCGTAATGGGTGGTAAGTAAGTAAATATATATATAAGATATATATATATATAACCTCATGCCGACTTTAACTCTTTATTTTCCCGACTCATTCAATTGAAAGACAAAGAAGAAAAAAAAGCGAAGTTAAAATTACCTTCGTAACGACTGTTTCTAGAAGGATTTATGGATCCTGTAAGATCTAGTGGACAGTCCCAATACTTACAAAGAAATATCTTCAGTATTGGCAAGGCTATTTTCTCACAGATTAAAGGGAAGATCTAATTTAAACGCGAACATGGATATTGTCATGCAAGGCAATAAACGCGAAATATATTAATGATTTTGAGATAAGTAAACCCCAGAATCATGTAAACAAGGGGCGTCGGTGGCCTAGTGGTTAGGATACCGGACTCGTAATCGTGAGGTTGCGTGTTCAGGGGTTCGAGCTGCGGGCCCGACGTTATGTCCTTGGGAAAGGCACTTTACAAGAATTTTCCTCACTTCACCCAGGTGAGAATGGGTACCCGGCCATAGACAGTGAAAGATCTTGTCAGTATGTTAGTGTTTTAGCTCATATAAATGGCTTCTTGCACTGTATGCTTCCTAGGAAGTTGAGGTTGTTTCAGAATGCTCTCGGGTCTGCTGGGGTAATAGTATAGATTGTGAAGCGCATAGAGCTTGCTGTTGAGCGGGGATTTGCGCTATACAAATGCTATCTTTTATTACTACTTCACATTTTATCATTTTGTCATCAACCTCTGAAGCTTTATGGTTCCCCTATTGAACACTAATTGACAGTGAAGAATTATTGAAGAATTATTGAAGAATTATTGAAGAATTATTGAAGAATTATTGAAGAATTATTGTCAAAAAAAGGTAATCACGTGTTTTCACCTGTTCTCCCCCCCCCCCCCCCA